AGATGGGGAGTTGAAGAGGCAGAGTGCTCTTTTGTTTTCAAATTTTAGTTAGGTTTGATAAGTTTGGTTACTTTCCTCACCAGTAGAAATGTAAACCATACTTTTATCCAATATATTAAGAAATAAAATTCTTTCAAAAACTTTCTTTTAATGTTCACTGTAATAGTTCAATTAAAATGTACCTTTTCCAGGCTAACCTTTATAAAGAATCCCTATTAAGGGCAAGTCCTGAATACAAGTTAAATACAAACTAACTATAAATTTAATTTAAGATTTTAAACCTATTTCTAACTTAAAGAAAGGTTAAAGCAATCTACTTTTAATTAAATATATCTATGGCAACTTAATTCCAAATCTTAAAGTTCTGCAACCCAATTTTTTATGATAAGAATATTACTAAAACTCATCTGCATTGAATGACAATCTTCCTTTCCTTTCGGCTCTCTGAATCCATTATCTCTCTCATGGGAATGAATGCATTGCTATGACTGATGATGAATAAGATATATAGGACAAATGATGCACTTTTTCATTTAAAAGACTAAAAAGGAAATTCACTTTTAGTCTCCTTTCTGCCTAGTTTCATTAAAGTCTAAATACAGCTATTCTAAGAGATTTTTTCTAGCTCAGTACAGTTTGACAAAAAACGTCTCATGTATCATTTAAATCAATTATAGATTCTCTGGAAATATACCACAAAAGTTTCAGTTCAACACTTCTGCTTTCAAAATAAATATATAAAATACCACCAAAATAAATAATCAAAAAATCCTTATGAAACAGCAATCTGAAAAAGCATATTGTTTATAACAATTACTAAATTATAATCCAAGCATTGTTTTGACTATTTAATTACAAAATTATCTTCATTTATTAAAATGTCTTAATAAGAGTTTATTTGATAACTTATTTTTTACCTAAAATGCCGTTCAACAATGACCACAAATACTTAGAATAGCATCAAAATTTCAATGTGACTTTATTACTAGATGAGCTTAGGCAATGACTGCTAGATAAGAGGAGTCCACCATTTCCACCATTACATGAGGAAGTCACTGTCCCTCTTACACATCCCATTACTTCCAAGACTTAGCATAGTATCTGGCACATAAACAATAAAAATAAATATTGCTACTACATGGAAGGAAAGCTGGGAGGAATGAAGGAGCCGCTACTGAATTTAAATTCTAGATCTTTCACAAGCTCTTCTAACTTCAAGAACTCTAACAGATTTTTGAAATTTGATTTTTATATGTATATATACACATGCAAATATATATAAATGAGTTAGATGATAATTATAACATTATTTAGGGAATACAATCACTTAACAGAATATACACCTTATTTTAGGATAATGTTCTATAACTGAAGGAAAAGAAATAATAAATTTCATATTACTTACATAGTTTACATGTATAGGTAATCATAAATAAATTGTTTAATTTAATAATGTTAACTATATCCTTTACATGGATTAAGAAATAAAGTACTTTCTTTATTTTCCTTAAGAATCCAGACCATTTTTGTTAAGTCTGAAACTCTTCCACTTTTTAATATTAGACAGGAAACTTACTGAGAATTAAGAAGAGCAAAGGAATAGCTAAGGAAAAGGAAGAAAGGAAGGAAGGAAAAGGAAGAATGAGGAGAAAAGGGGAAAGAGAGAGACTGAAGAAGCAATTCACCAAAAATGTTTTCTCCTTCTGAACAGAAATGTAAATAATGCACAGCTGTAACTAAAGGAAGAGGGAGTCATGTCCAAGAAAATACAGTCAAAATTGGCTCTGGTGATTTGCGTTTCTTTAAACCATGTTTTTCTTTAAATCATGTTATGAGAAATCTGGCACTATACTGGTTGTTCTTCATTTGCCCATGTAAAGAATACCCTGAGATCCTTCCGAGTTCCTTAGATGTGCTCAAAACATCTGTTTAATATAGTTGTTGATTTGGCATCCATTTTTACAACTGACATGACTTATATGAACCCTTGTACCCCAAGCTTTACGTAACTAAAACTTCTCCTCTTGTGCTTATTTGAGCTACAGCCACTTGGTCACTAGGAGAAATGCAAACAGAACTAACAGACACTGCTGCTGCCAAGATATGCTTCCTCACTCTAAGCAAAGGTGGTGAAGAGTAGGGGAAATTCCCTAGCTTCTCCCCTTTCCCCACCCACCATTCTTCCACTTTGCCCCCCCACTAAACCAACACAACAGTGGCACAGACCAAGACAGTTTGAGAAGTGTGGTGAAAAGCAGGGTGAAGTAGAGTGATCAAAAGGATAATAGGGCAAATAAGCATAAGACCAGCACAACTATTTTAATTTAAGAACAATAGCCAAGGCAACCCAAGAGGATTAAAAACATCATCATGTGTATACAAACTTCCACACCAGTATTATTCACAACAGTCAAAAGTAGCAATAAACCAAATGTTCATCCACAGAAAAATGTTATAGAAGTGGAATATTATTTGGCAATTAAAAGGGAAAAAAAGCACAGTGTTGTATTACCTTCCACAAAACAGATGAACTTTAAAAATATGATGGTAAGTGAAGAATCCAGACTCAAAGACTCTATGTTGTATGATCCCATTTACACAAAATGTCAATAATAGGCAAATCATAGAAATAAAAATTAGATTAATGATGGTAAAGAATGGAGGAAAAGGGGAATTGATACAATCTGTAAATAGGTATGAGGTGGGAGATGGAAGTGATCTAGAATTAGTGATAATGGTAACATAACATCACAAGTATATTAAAAAATCACTAAAACATATACACTTTAAGATTGTTAATTTTATGTTATGTGAATATATGTCAATTTTTAAATATTAAAATTCAAAAAAATAACAATTACAGAAATTGGGAGTATATTTTAGCATTCAAGATTTGACTCAAAACTCAATTATGTCTGTCTCCATAGTTGTTGGGTAGTGATTTCCTCCTGTACAAAGGTACCAGTATTGAAGGACCTTCTTGCTAAGAAAATTCGGTATTATTTTCAGTTTCCTAATCTTTAAATAACACATTTGAGGTACTTCTGCCACTGATTTACAAGCAATTACAATAGCTGAGTCATTGTTTCAGTAATCTATAATGAGAGGACGGGTTCTGATAGTCAAAATTAATATTTTCACAGATTCACATGAGAAATTGACAAATAATAAAGAAGTTAAAGTTTCTTCTCCATCCTCCAAGATGTATACAAGTTTTTAAATGCCTCCAAATGTTTTTAAAGAAACAACTGGGCAGGAATTAAAAATACAAAGAATACAAGCCAATACAGGGAAAACAGAGAAAGGATCTGAGATATGCAGAGAGCTATAGATTCAAATCTTGACACCTGAAGGCCAGTGAACTCCAGCTGACCTTCTTGGAACAACTTCCTGGATGGGCAACAAAAGCAATGCTGCCCACTGCTGACAAATTTATGACATTTCTATAAACCTCTGCACAATGCAAAATGATATTCTAATATGCTGTGACATTAGGAAATATCAACTTAAACTTGAGTTGCCTTAAATACTGTCATAAGTTTTAGCTTCTTAGAATAATCCAATTTGAATTTACATAGTTGAGCTATGATCAAGATACAGAAAATGTTAATATATGTTATAATCAATCATATTCTTAGCCACATGGGACTATTATAAAACATCAGTGATCTAAGAAGACATTTAACTTGATATTTAACTTGATAAGGGATGATACGAAAAATGCATCTCTGCAAATAAATGGTAAATAAAGTCATTAAGTGGGTAAAATTATCGCAATTTCAAGACACTTTCTAAAAAAGAAATTTATATATAGTAACGACTGAAATAACAAAACTAAAAGCTAACAGTAACCACCATTTTATCCATATAGCAAAATTTTAACATGTTATTTATTTAAAAAGCAATATGAAGCTAGCTAGTAATTTTTACTGATGTCACAAAGTTCAAACTCTTCCTTCTAGCATAAAGGTTTTCTAACAGAAATCTCCTAAAATCCTGAAAGAATGCTTCTCTATAAAAATAGGCATTAGGCATTATAACAAAGTTCTCTGATCCCACACAATAAGGGCTTAAAGTCAATAAATATACACAAAATACTGGTTAAAACAGGGAACGTTAAGTTATATACACACATGCATACACATACAAAATGATATAAACATCTTGTTTTAAAACATAAATAAATATAAATTCACCCATCTTCTGATATAAGACTAAATTCTTATCTTTGAGTTCGGGTCCTTTACAAGAATTTTGACCCATCTCTTTATTTCGGTTCACTGTGCATACATAATTAAAAATTATTTTTTCCACTCTTTCCATCTCTGGTCACCACAGTGTAAAGAGCATTCACCCTGTCCATGCACCTGCAGTGGATGATAGTGCAGAACTGCACCAATTTCCTGATCAAGAGAAACAGACATGACCAAGCCCAAAAACCTGAAGGTGTGCAACTCCTTCTACTACCACTGCAACTGTAAGACTGTGGGCATGGAACCTGTGACTTAAAGGTGTTGTATTGGTTAGGGAGTGGAGATCCAGCCAACGAAAGCCAGCTACAACCTGTGTGAACTACCATCCACAAGAATGTGCAGGCCACCCTCGGCAGCATCAGGCACAAGATCCATGAGAACAAGTAGCTCCCAGACCTGAGCAGCATGGTGGCCATCCAAAGAGCCAGTGCCATACTGCACAGACAGAAGCCTGTGATGGGGAAGAGGAAGTGGACCCATCACTCTTAAGAGCTCCTGAGCCCTATGCCCCAAAGAGCAATAGAATCTGTTGGGGAAAAAAAAAAAATGTTCTAGGTTGTCCTTACTAACATTTGCCTAATACTCAGTAACTTTGTTGTCACATTCATAATTCATTATCAATTGTTGCAAAATTATAATGAAAAGAATCAGCTTTCATTGGAAGGGGGTACTGGCTCAGTATAAGCACATGATGCAACTGGTAGAAGAACTGTATTCATATACTAGACAACAGACTACTCTTGATGTTTAGAAACCTATGGGAATCATTTTGTGTTGTTAATGTTTGAGCCTGTCAAGCAGAAATTAATTCATTCAGTCTAGTTAATAAATAAAATTGGTGAAAGAATGAACATCAGATTAGAAAGCCAGAGGAAGTATTAAAAATATATCACAGTTTTTCTCAGCCTCAGCACTGGCTTAGTAAATAACCCTAAGACTTTCCACCTCTGCACTCCTTTGCCAAAATAAATAACATCAAGAGTAAGGAAACGTATCAGGAAAGAAAAGGAGAGAGAAATTAGTAGGGATAGAAACAGAGTAAATTATATTATCTGCATTTATGAATAAGTAAAAATAAAACTTACAATTTTGTATAACTATAATGCATAACAAAACATTAAAATAAATCAATAATAATAAAGCACCCCTAGAAAGTTGCTCTCAAGAAACAGCACAATCTCCAAATAAGCAAACTGAAGGTACGGTAAGCATGTGACAAAAATGCATTCAGACATCCCCACAGGGAGTTGAAAAAGACTACCTGGTAAAAGATTCCTTTCCAGTTTCCTTTGAAACCACAACTCAATAGAAATTCCAAAAAACTTCATCAATCTAAATATGGAGAGCTATCCTACCTAAACAAACTTCCTTGACATTTGGGAGGGCGGGGGGAACTAAGCATCTAGAATATTTTTAAAAATCTGGAAAGTTTATAAAAATGTATTATTTGCCTTTACGGACATATACTGTCATGCACTGCATGAACTGTATACTGTCATGTGATGCATAGTGACATTTCAGTCAGTAACAAGCCACATACACAATAGTGGTCTCCTAACATTATATAGCCTAGTGACTTTATAG